CTCTTCCTGCAGCGCACACTAACTCAACTCATGCACCTCATCCGCAGAGTCTCCCATCGCCACTTTGGACTACAAGAAACCGACACTTTACGCATCATTCAAGCTATCCTTATCAGCCGAGTCACGTACGGGACACCGTACTTGGCCCTGAAATCCGCGGAGAAGGAGAAACTGAACGTTGCCATTCGCCAAACCTACAAGGCCGCCCTGGGACTACCCCCAAAGACGGCCACACGAAAACTCCTACAACTCGGCGTCCATAATACATGGGAGGAAATACAAGAAGCCCATCGAGTCTCACAATTCACCCGACTGAAACTCACATCGGTAGGAAGAGCTACGCTCTACCGGCTCGGTTACACGCCTCCTGCAGAATGCGAGCAGAAGAAACGCATCCCTCTCACCATCCGACATTCCATCAAAGTCGCACCTATTCCAAGAAACATGCATCCCATCTACAACAAGGCACGGCGAGAAGCCCGGATACGAGCCCTCAAAACCCAATACGAACACTCCCCGGATTCTTCTTTTACTCGCTACACGGATGCTTCCCCGTACCCCCAACAACCAGCCCACGTCGTGAGCGTCACCGACGCCCATTGCAAAGAACTGACGGCAGCTACAATTCTCACTACGTCTATCGAGACAGCAGAAGAGCTCGCCATTGCTTTGGCGGCCACCACTGGCAACGAATATATCACTGTACTGACCGACTCTCAAGCCGCTTGCCGCAACTTCCTACTTGGCCGCATATCACCAACGGCCCTCAAAGTTCTACAAAACGTACGTCAACTCCCAGAACTCCATATCGTCTGGACCCCCGGACACGAGTCCTTCGAGGGAAACGAAGCGGCACACGCCGCTGCCCGCGCTCATATACACCGGGCAGTTTCTCAAGAAGGCGACGACACGCAAACCCCATGCACTTTCAAACCTACTCCTCTTAAGAAATACGCGGACATCCTCGCTCATTACCGCCACGAACGACGACAGTTCCCGCCACCGCACCCCCGCCTATCCAGAGCCGAAGCGACCGCTTTTCGTCGGCTACAAACTAACTCGTATTCCCACGGCACTCTACTGCACGCCATGTACCCCACCCTATATTCTGCTACCTGCAAATTTTGCTCCCAGCCTGGCACCCTGTACCACATGGTCTGGGAGTGTCAGCAAACCCCATCCCTCGCCCCCAACCCTCACGCAACCTACGAGCAGTGGGTGGGCCAGCTGACCAGTTCCGACCTCTCAGCCCAGCGTAGCCTGGTGGAGAGAGCCCGGAAAGTCAGCGCGGACCAGGGCTTCCCGGACTAGAGGAGGCCCCCCACCGGGCGGGCGCCCAACCATCAGCGCCTGAAGCTCTATTTATTAAAAGTTTATTCCTCCTCCTCCTTCTTTAAAACATCTAAGATGTTACCACTTTGTACAAAGCAATGCACCTTGTATAAAACGTCTCGCAAAATATTCTTGAGGTGCACTTTTAGTTTACTTGGAGTATACTGGACAAAAATAAATCTGCAGGGTTGTTTTCACCAGAAATATAAACAACGCATTGCTGAAGGCTCATTCTCCGACCAAAGGTAACGCTAGAGGTTCGAACCAGATGTCACAGTTTGAGCCCGAACCGATATCTTTTTAAATAGTTATGAGTGAATTTTTTTATTATTTCAATTGAAAAATCGAGCTCTATTCCGCTAGAAACCCAAACCGGGCGAAAATGAGCCTCAATTTTTATTATAGATTTAAAAAAAGCTTTTGAGTAAGACATTGGTTCGCGCTGAAATTCTAGCATCTCGTTCGGACCTCTAGCGCTAACTTTGGGAGGAGAATGAGCGCTCAACAATGCGTAATTCATTTTTACGGTAAAAAAAAAAGAACCTGCATTTTTTATTTTTTTGGTAGGGAGGGGGGGGGGGACACTTTGTACTTTGAGTGTGTACACCTTTTGCTGCCAGACTGGGTCGACGCGCGGACCACACCGGTGAAATGCCAAGTTGAATAGAAGATTAGGGAGTTTTAGAGAAACGAGAACCGTTTTTTTTTTTTTTCGGACTAGTTAAATAAACTCGGCATCGCAGAAAGCTTGAACTCCTTAAGGATGAGACGCTGGCGGTTGGGATAGAACGCCAAAGTTTGAGAACATGACGTCGCCTAGATCAAAAGATATTTGAGAAAAACAAAATTTATCTATCAGCCGGCGTCCACCTAAGCCTAGTATCGTTAAAGCTCAAACAAGAAAAAGGATATTGTTTCCTTTCTTGCTGGCACGTTTCTTCTTTTTATTTTTTCACTGCAATAGATATTACAGGCCCCACGACGCGATTTCTTGTTTTGCCGATATTAGGCTTAGCTAAACATCGGCTCGTACAGAAATTTTGTTTTCCTCAATTATCTTTTGATCTAGGCGACGCCATGTTCTCAAACTTTCGCGTTCCATAACAACGGCTAGCATCACATTCTCACGAAGTTCGAGCTTTGTGCAATGCTTACTTGATTTAACTGAGCCGAAAAACACGTTTCTCGTTTCTCGGAAACTCCCTTAATCAACATATCTTAAAGGTATATTAAAACATACCTCCCGTGTACATTATGTTTTGTAAAAGTACAAAAGTAATATACTCTGTTTATGCCGCATTATCCGGATTATTGTCCGCACCCGGTGTATAGTCCGCAGGGGTAAAGGTTGATTAAAAACTGATTTTTCTTGGGTAGCCCGGAGAATGCTTCACACATTGTAGCTGGGACACACAAAATATCATACGCAGCACACCCTGACAAATAGCGCCTTCATTAGCTCGCAAAGAAGCTTGTATGATACAAAGGCCATTATAAACATACTCTGCGATTCACAAATGCGTCTCGTCATAATGAATGATATGGAAAAAACAAACAAATCCTTGTATTTACCGCACCGCGTAAAAGTTCACCTTTTAAACCATATATAGTTCGCGGATAACACTAAGGAAGAAAAAAAAAGGCGGGGGGGGGGGGGGGGGGGGGGGGGGGGGAAGAGGTAGCATCGGCACGGATTACTCTTAAAAACTTTCAGCCTTACCACTCTGGAGGAAAGGCTTCCAGCCTTTCCATCAGACGCCATAAACACCTTTCCGACCTCAAGTCGGCAAGCCAGAGCGGAAACCCAGGCGAACATCAGTCCACTTTCAGCTGGATTATGGAACTATAAATCCAGCTGGAATCCAGCTGGCTTGCCTCATTTCCAGTTCCACAATCCAGCTGAAAGTGGACTGATTTTCGCCTGGGAAGGCTGGAAAGGTTGCCGCCGTCGCTCATGGATGGTGGTAGCTGTCCGGAGTTTTGTGTCAACATTTGTTTGCCCAAGTACACGATACCGGGTAAACTAGCCCTGAACAACTCAGCTGTAAAAAAATCGGCCCTTGCCTTACAAGCGTGTCAAGGGAAGTGGTAACACAGACTGATGTGTTAGTGTGGAGAAACTGTGTACATGTGGGGATCAGATGGCGCGAAGCCGCCCTGTGTCGTGCAAGGTAAGCGTGTGAGCGCTCCATAGATGTCTTACTTGCGGGTGGCACCTTCTAAGAGCCTGTCGGAGTGTGAGACACAGTAGACGGAGCGTGCTGAACAGGGCAACGCGGATTGTAAGTTCGTCTGCTTATTTTATTGGGGTTGTGATGACGTCAAAACGCCGAGCTCGGATTGGCTGTGACTGAAGGATAGACCTCAAAGCAGATTGCTTTGAGGTCTACCCACTATTTTTCACTCAGAACCCATCAGAGATCGGCGATCTGACGTCACAACAACCCCTACAAAAGAAGCAGACGAACTTGCGCTCTGCAATGGAACGTGCCAGCGCCAAGCAGAGCCCTGGCGCCAGCTCGCAGCGATAGAGAACCAAACACTCAAACTGTACTTGAACCCATTGCGGCAAAGCGAGCGCCTGCTTTCTATTCTCTTGTTTTCTGCCGCTCTCTCTCTCTCTCTCGCTCTTTCTCAGGAAAAACCCGTTGAGCACTCGTTTCACGGATCAGAGCGTTGCTGTATGTCCGAGCACGTGATGTTTCTGCCCCCGCCGGGAGTTCCACTGAGGCACTCGGGGAAGAGGTCGGCTGGCAAGGTGTCCAACCAGTGAGGAAACGAGCGCTGCCTAAGCGTTCGGCTGGCAGTCGGCCTGTCCACTTCCGTTGCTGGCATCGAACCGCATACGGTTGGGTACCAGCCATAGAACACATTGTGTGGTAAAAACGCCAATGTATGAATCTTTGACGTGCCTTAAAACTACGCTAGAAGTGCCAGGTTGCACGTCTTACCTCGCACGCATTTAGTTTGATGCCCAAAACAAATCTGTTTTACTCGTTACCTAGAATCCTTCAATGTTATCGCCAAGCTTTGTTTTGGAAAATAGCACTATCCAACTTATTAAGAAGACGCGGAGACGCGATTCCTAAGCCCGCGTGTTCGATGGTAATAAGCAACTGTTTTTCTTCTGTATATCCTCATGAAAACGACGATGAGGGTGTCAGATGACGTCATGTAACGTGACGATAGTCACGCAGATGACATCACGTGAACACCCTCCGCTGAATGTAGCGGCACGTAAGTCCGCTAAATTGACGCTTCGTGCTTCGGTCACATTATACGACCATTCGATTTCCCCGCTTAATTTAGCGGAGAAGTAGCCTTGTACTGTGGCACTTTCGCGTCACACTTCCGTTACACCTTTCCGAAACGGTGAATGGGACATATTTTAGTCTACGTAAACTTCTACACACTTTGCGTCAATGCTGCGGTCGCCTTTCAAGCCCTACTCAGGCTGCTGATACACAAGCCAGTGTGCAGACACTCGGGAGTTGCTTCCTTGTATAGAGACCCTTCTGCACACATGCTCGAAGCGGGTAGGCAAACGTGCTTGAGTAGCAGAGAACAGCGTGTACGATGCATGAGCATAATTGAGTGGGGAATTCCGGCCTCGGACAAGGGTCGCAGCGTGGTCGCAGACGACGAAGCGTGGTCTCTCTCCTGCGCAGGCGCAGTGCGTCCAAGATGTGCGGCAAGAATAAGGCCTCGGCCACGTCGCTGCCCATGCCGGACACCTTCCACACCAACCCGGCGTACGAGCCGAGCGACGACGAGAGCCCCCGGTTCCACAACCTGGAGCAGCTCAACGAGGAGTCCGAGAGCCGCGTCGTGGTCGAGCCCCGCCCAGGTGCGTTCGCCGGGAGTGCTGCCCCGAGCAGGGCATCGCAGCTTGCCCCGAGTGGTTCGTTTAAGGCTCCAGGGCGGCCACCTTGTATGGCTGCAAAGCCCTTTTGAAGCAAATATAAAGCTACACATGAAAAAAGAACGCGACTAAAATGTCGAAAATGTTCTCGTCTACATTTTCATTGCTTCAAAGCGTGACAACTTTACTCTGCGTTTTCAGTATACTGAAAACGCAGAGTAAAGTTGTCACGCTTTTAATACAGGAGGAGTAAAATGAGAAACAAGTGGCACTATTTATTCACTAATTATCGAATACCCTAATAAACCAATTATTTTAAGTGGGTCATGAAATGAATATATGTCTACCTGAGCTTCATTTTTCTTATACTCATTAACCAACAGAACAAATTGATTCCCAACTATTACGGCGAAATATTACGTCTGCGTTTTTTAGAACGCGTCTAAATTTTTTTTTTCTGATGCCATTGACACACTTCGGTAGCGTGCATGAGAAACAAAACGTCATGGTGGCTATGTAAAGATGTTCAATATATATTCAACCTTATTTAACCTTGAAATGAGAATTTTAGAAAATGAGTTATTTAATCATGTTCTTGTAATACTTGTACGATACTACGTCATGCGATTGTGATACAGTTTTGGTTTCAAGCACATCTGCTGAAGAAGTCTCGAGTCATCGTCAAACCGTAGTAATTCGTAACAACTATATTTCTCATTACTTGGGGTGCTGAAGTGTGACCGTGTAGATTTAAGACTTCAATCAACGGGGGGGGGGGGTCTCGCACGTTTCTCGTCGACCTGGTGAATAAGCAGGGATTTAATTGAAACGACTCCTTAAGCCAGCTCTTCTTCCTGGCAGTTATTCCGAGGAAATGTTTGTTTATTGGATAACTAAATTCAAAAAGGAATCAACTTGCAACTAATAAGACACCAGCACTCACAGAACACACTGGAACCAACAGCATAAATGAAGTCACTTTCACTGAAGTGCTTACTACACACGCGAGAGGTTCCCGAATTTCACTTTCCTATTTCCAATTCGATGAGACATCCCTTCCTCAATATTTTTTTTTTTTTTGCTCGTATCATAATAAAAAGAATGCACCATATTTGCCGTGGTATATGCTGTAGTGGGGAAAAGCGCTGGATATTCTATTTTCATCATCCAGCTTTTTGCACGGGGAGAACAGCACAACAGCATCCGAGCGCTTCGACACCTCAGCGCCAAAAGTCTTTGTTAGAACGACTACGCGTGCCACGGTCTGAAGTTTCGGTAAAATATCCTACTGCAAATATCACTTCACCAAATAACCACAATGCGTGAAAGAGGCTTTGCCACGCGTTACGTAAACAGCGTACGCAGCGAGCTCACGAGCTGAGGGATCCAAAAACTGCGCAGTCTGTCCCAGTCTGTCCTACCCGTGACGTCACAAATGATGATGATGATAGCTAGAGAAGTGCCTTCTGTAGTCCGCGCACGCCGCCAATAGTGACCAGTTACGTGGGCTCCCGCGGGCGCCAACTACAAAATCGTTTCCCGCCGTAAAAATAGCTCTAATTGTTGTGTCGCTGTAATTTTATGTTTTGTCATCATTTTTGTTTTAATTTAAGCCGTTAAAAAAATTCCCTATACGTATGTTTTTTAAGGTAAGATTTCACAAAATAAATCAAATTTTTCGCGAACCATGACATTGAGACTTTTATTGCTGCTTTCTAATGGGAAATCACTCCTAATCACGAAAAATTCGGAATTGAGCGAAACACCTTTCAAAGAAAAACTAGAGATTTTCTTGGAACAAAAACGAGTTAGAAGTAAATTCTAGCATCCTGTGAATTTGAATATCACGAGCATTTGACCCGAGCATAGCAATAGACGTGAGAAAAACCGAAAAAACCAAGCTGTGACGTCATACCCAGAAGCTGCCTTGAGCTTCTGAGGGAAGCCATGCAGCGCTTTTGCATGCTCCGGGAAGGACTGCTCCGGCCTGTCCAAAGGCTCGATAGCAGTCAGTCCTCTAGAGCTCAGGATGCGGCGTTTAGAACCAAACCAGAATCGCTTCGAAGCACGCTGTCAACTGTGAGCCCGCAGCATGCACCTTGCATTTTCACACTTCTCCTCGTCAGAACTGAGAGAGAAACTCCATCTCTGTTGATTCGTAACTTTTATTTTCTTCTCCGGTCTTTGCGCTGTTCCGCTGGATGACAGCTCAGAATGCAAGATTTACTCCGAATATACGATTTGCCATCTGCGGATACTGCCTTGTCCGGAGAGACGGGCACAGAAATATTTTTATCGCCATGCATGACAACGGCTTCCTGAACTTCACGGACATTAGTCATACATCTTTAGTGCTTTTGAAAGATGAACCTTCAAATTTATGTCAACTTGTTCCTCGCCAGACGTACGTGTGCTCCGGCGAGAGGCACATTTCGCGCTGCTCCCAAGTTCCATAGGCCGACGATAATGATGATGATGATGATTTGCGGCTATTTCTTAGTATTGTTTGATTTGGTTGCGAGCGCCACTAAGCGTCCCGCAGCAAGTCTCTAATAGCGAATGCGATTGGCCCCGTAAGTGTGACGTCACCGCAATGACCAAACCTTTCCTAGGAGCGTTGTAATGAACGGATGCATAGGACTGGATTTCGCTCCCGAAGAACGATCGGTCAAAAATCAAACGTAAAATTTAAATGTCTAGATATAATAGATAAACGGAGCCTATATATATTGCTCACTTACCACGATGAAAGTTTTCCGAAAACCATCTGTTTCTGAAATATTTGTGACGGCAACTTTCGGTCCCCGAGACCTTTCAAGATGCCTGACTAAAGCATGCGATCTGTGACAGTTTGAATCGTTCGCAGAATGATGTGATTTTGATTTTGTATTTATCTGCAATATGGCAGGCCTAAGAAAACTAATCAGGTTTATAAAAAACGAATTGCATTTGCGTGCGATACGGGATATTGTCCGAAGAAAATCATGACGCGTATGGAGGTCTGCTAAATACACAGCGAGAACAGCGTCTGTTTAGAACATGATATCAAAGCAGCATCGCGCTCTCTTTTTGATTTTGCAGTTAACGTGCATTGTAATAGAAGAGCAACTATTTTGACTTCAACATCAAAAGTTCGAGACCCAAAACTTCTGTTTTCAGGCTCACAATTCGTTCCTTTGTAATCATAACCGAGAAAAAGTCCTATTGATTCCTCAGCTTTAAGCAAGACCTCAGGTGTGCATGACAGAAGGAACGCTTTTCCGTGCCCCTAGAAGATTCGAATTTACCCTTACCCCGAGTGTAAAAGATAGGGAGGCCAGAATGACTTTCCCTTGTCAGTATCACCCTGGCTTACTAAGTAACATTTTGGGTCGAATGCTCGAGATGCCGAGTGGAGGAGATGGAGCCGAGCGCGGCTTTGTCGACTCGGAGCCAGCTGTCACGCCGATGCATCGTCACTCGCTGCTGCCGCCGTCGACACTCGTCCTTTCTTTTGTTTCTATGCACAAGTTCGCCTATTAGATCTTTATTTTCTGTTTTACGCTTGTCGATCTGTTTCCATCTGCGACAATAGGGAGTTTTCGTAAACCGTGTTCCTCCATCCGCTAAGCTATCCTTAACGAAGAGGCCGCTACGGTTCCTGCGTGTGCCGCAAGCCTTGAATGAAGAATCCCGGATCTCGGTAGCGGGTTGCGAAAAGCGTTGCGGGACGCGGCGCGAACGATCTACGAAAACTCCTTCATATTGTCACGAATGACGAGGTGATGAAACAAAGAATAACTGAGGAATCTGAAACGTTTATTGGGGCGAACTTCTGCCCAAAACAAAAAAAAAAGGGGGGACAGAAGAAAAACTGGGCGTCGCGGGCGTCGAAGTCGGCGTAACAGCAGAATAGAAGGCTGGGGAGAGACTGACTCCGGCTTGGCACGCGGAGCACCTTTTGTAGCCGCGTGGGTTTTTGGAACATTCGGCTTAGAATGTTCGGCGCGTAGAACATTCGCAACTCGATCACACGAGAAAGTTCTTGAATTTGTAAAAACGCCAAGTAGGAAGAAGAAATAAAAAAAATATTCCGCGTTCCCTGGAACCGAACACAGATCCTCCGCGCAACGGCCAAGCACGGTAACCATTGGGCCACGTACGTGCTCGCTCAGCCACGTTCCGGGAAACAAAAAAGGAAAACAAACAAAAATAATGGCAAACTACGGAGACTTGTAAACCACAATCCTATCGAGCGTAGTATAAAACGCAATTCACAGTCTTATCGATCATAGTACAATTTGAGGCGCATGACATGGAAGACTTCCGGTCATGGAGGGTGGCGTGATGAAGTCCGTGTTCCGTCGGGCATCACCTCGTAGTTCAGGTCCCTGACTCAACGAAGTACTTTGTAGGGTTCGAACTAGCGCTTCAGGAGTTCTCGGACAGCGTCGTCGTATGGGTCGTCGTGTCGTCACGTCGACCCACACACGGTCTCCGGGCTTGAAGCGAACGTGATCGGCGAAAGTTGTACCAGGTAGCGTCGACACGTTGTTGATCATGAATTCGGAGTCTGGCAAGCTGGCGAAATTCTTCAGCTTGTCGAGTCACCACCTGGGCGTCGTGGCTCACATCGTCAGCTGGTTCGGGGCAGCATCGCGTCGAGCATGGTCGTTACTTTTCTGCCATGCACCAGCTGAAACGGTGTTACTCGTGTGGTCTCTTGCACCGCCGTATTGCAAGCAAACGTGACGTAGGGTAACACGTACCTCGTCTCAAGTCGTGTGCTCTACGTCGACATACATGGAGATCATGTCGGCGATAGTTTTGTTCAGCCGTTCTGTTAGTCCATTTGTCTGCGGATGATACGCAGTGGTTCGACGGTGCCTGGTGCTACTGAGACGAAGGATCTCTTGCGTCAGCTGAGCCATGAACGATGATCCGCGGTCTGTAAAGAGGACTTCGGGGGCGCCGTGCTGGAGGACAATGGACTCGATGAAAAACTT